CTAAGAATAAGATAAAGTATATAATTACTAATACTAATTACTAGAAGAATCTAGCTACTTATCTTAACTATTTCTTTATTAGTCTTAATAAAGAAATTAAGCTTAATTAAAGCTTTATTATTAACTAAGTAAACTATAGCTTTACTATTAAAAATTATACTAGCTAAAAGCGCGTAAGACTTAAAGTCTATACTAAAGATAGAAAACCTAAACTTAGTAATTAGCTTTTTTAGATAAATAATTATTAAGACTATATTACTTAGATACTTAGAAGCTAGAGTACTTATTTTCTAGCTAGATTACTTAACCTTCTTATATAAGCTACTTTACTTCTCTTTATAATAGCGCTTTTAAATCTTTTACTTATCTTAAGCTAAGAGATTTATTAGTAAAATACTTAGTAGTTTAGATTTAGTAATTATAGTCTATAATTAGTAATATAAGATAGACTTTTACTTATACTTTACGTTAGATTTATAGAGATAAGACTTAAGTAGTAAGCTTAACTACTTCTTACTTAACTTAGTAGAAGTAAAAAGTTAATTTATAACTATATTAAAAATTATATTAGCTTTTTTCTTTTTAGTAGTAATTAATATCTTTTAAAGAATAACGCTAAATACTTTACTAAAATTACTAAAGTTTAATATATTCTTTCTAAAAGCTATAGTAAATAATTAATTATATTACTACTAGTAGGCCTACTTAGAGTTAAACTTCTTAACTATAGTAAGAAAGTTAGTAATTATAAAAAGTTCTTTAACTTCTAAGAGCTTAAAGATCTTTACTTTCTAGTAAAGTATTAACTAGTTAGTAAACTACTTTTTAGTAGTACTTCTTTAAGTTTTCTTAAAATAAGTATAATACTTTATATAAACTATATATTAAGTAGTTTAATTAGTAAAAGTAAGTATAGTCTTAAGAGTTTTTATAAGAAACTAGACTATTCTTTTATTATTACTTATAGTTATAAGTAATAAGTAATCTAGCGTAATAGTGCGTATAATCTAGTTCTTAATATTATTAATTTTCTTACTCTTTCTTAACTACTACTTAAACTTATAGTTCTAGTAGGCTATAAGTATAAAACTATTCTTAGTTTTATAGTTATAATCTTATAAAAGAGTATTATACTTATAGATAGCTTTATTATACTTATTCTTTTAATTTTTAGTTAGCTTTATAAGAAGAGAAGCTAGAGCTATAAGCTCTAGAACTAAAAGATTAGAAAACTTAAACTTCTAAGTATCTATATATTTAATATCTAGAAGATTAGAATTAATCTCTTTCTAGATACTTTTCTTATTATAGTATTACTTAAAAAGTATAAACTAGGTATTCTAGTTAGATTACTTCTTAAGAAGTATACCTATAGCTATAATAGCTATATTATAATTACTTATATTTATAGAGTTAGAGTATAGAATTAATATAAAAATATAAAAAATAATAAAAAGGTAGATAGTAAGTAAGTAATTACGTAGAAGAAGTTCTAATTATAAAATATTTAGAAAGAGTAGAGTAGAAATAAGATTAACTAATTTTATTTTCTAGTAAGCTTTAATATATAGTAGAAATTAGTTCTATAATTAAGTAGCTAGGCTTATAACTATTATAGCTAAAGATAATTAATAATTAAAGATAATTAAGTATATTATAATTAATCTATTATAAAAGAAAGTTAGAATAAAATTTCTAGCTATATATCTAAGAGCTAAGTAATTATATATCTATAATTAAGTAATTATAACTACTCTCTAACTTTAATAAGTAGTATATATAATATCTTTATCTACTTTAAAATATATAAAAAAAAAGTTAGAAAAAAAAATACTTTAACTCTATCTATACGTAAGACTTAGAAAAAAAAAGTTATTATTAAGAAAGAAAAGGCTATTAAGAAAGAATCTAAGATATCTATAAGTAGAAAGAAAAGTAGATAGAAAGAACTTATTATATAAAAGTAATCTATCTTTTAGCTTTCTAAATTTTAAAAGTAGCGTTTATTCTCTACTAATAGAGTTAGACTATCTTTTATTAAAGATAGTCTTATATAGAATAATACTAGTAACCTAAAGAACTTATATTTCTATAATTCTTAGGCTAATACTATCTCTAGATCTAAGTTATCTAAGCTTTCTAACTTTCTAACGTCTATATAAAAGCTAACTTCTATTAGAGTTTCTACTAGAAGTAAAGGTAAGAGTAAGAAGCGTATATAGTTTTATATATATATAAGATAATTATATATAGTTCTATATATATATAAGATAATAATATAGTTAGAAATAAAGTAGAGTTTTATTAGCTCTTAGATATTTCTAGCCTTTCTTACCTTAAGAGTTTTATACGCTTATTATATATATAGATATTATATATAATATAATATTTAAAAGATACGTAATAGCTAGATAGTATTATATAGTACTAGAAATCTAAATTTTCTCTATATACTATTCTTCTATAGCTTTTCTTAAACTTTTTAAAGTATTATATAAGTAAAGAAAAGAAGAAAAAATTATATAGTAAGAGTAGTAGAAGACTACTATAATTATAGCCTTTAGGCTAAGTATATAAATAATCTACTCTCTTTCTTCTCTATTACTTCTATACTTTACTTTCTTTCTACTCTTTTACTTTTATATAGCCTTTATTAACTTTAGTCTAACTTTTTTAATATCTACTCTTATATAACTATTATAGCTAACCTTTCTACTAGCTTTAGCTTTATCTAGACTAGCTACTAGATTATCTATAAGAACTCTCTCTTTTATAATACTAATATTAGCTTTTACTTTATATATAGTGTTAACTATAAGACTTTTTATATAGCTTATTACGCTCTTACTTAAAGCTACTTTATCTATCTAATTAATTCTACTAGTGCTATTACTTACTTCTAAAGCTACTAAATAGATACTATCTCTAACTCTACTTTATATAAGAAGATTCTAGTTTTTAATATTACTACTACTACTACTTTCTCTAATACTTTTATCTATACTATATATATATCTTCTTTTACTTTTATTTATATACTAACTTTATATAAAGTATAGACTATACTTATTTAGCTAACTTTTTTATCTATATAGCTAGTATCTTTCTATATAACTTTACTATTACCTTTTTTATTACTTACACTAGTTATATTACTATTAACTATATTCTATTCTAGCGCACTTTATATATTAAAACTATTTTAGTTTATTTTAAAAGTATACTTAATATAATAGCTTATAATAACTATAGTAATATATATAATAGCTTTAGAGAGTTCTCTTACTTTACTAGCTATATAAGTATTACTAGCTAGTTTAAAAGTACCTACTCTAACTATATTTAGAATAACTATACTTTTATCTACTTCTATAGTACTAGTAAGAATTCTTTTATTAGCCTCTTATATAGTAAGTAGAAGAATTAGTTTAGTAGCTCTAAGTATAGTTCTAATAAATCTCTTTTTAGCTATAAGCCTAACTCTAAGCTTTTTAAGCCTACTAGTTATATAAGTATATACTTTAACTATAGTATAAACTAGATAATAGTTATTAAATAATAGAGTTAGTTAAATACTAGATATATAATATTAGACTATAATTAGATATATTATTCTAAAAAGACTAGAGATAAATTACTACTAAGCTATAATAGTAATTCTAAAGTATTTATAGCTAGTGCTAAGTTAGTCTAGACTCTTTAGAGCTAGAACCTAATAATAGTTTTCTAAGTATTATATAATTACTACTATCTAGCCTATAGCTTCTAAGCACTATAGTATAAGTATAGAGACTTTACCTATATATAAAAAAGTAGATATAAAATAGCGCTTATAGAGCCTCTATATAAGAGAGTATTATATTTAATCTCTTTTTTAAGAGGTTATTAATAGTAATATAAATATATTCTATTAAATTCTAAGCCTTTATATAATATATAGTGTAATATTAAGTTAAAAATTTTACTCTACTTATAGTTTTAAAGTTCTAAAATAATTGTTGCACGATAACTTGATTTAGTCTACCGTACCGGCGCCGCCAACACCACCAATGAGCATCACCACAAAGCGCCTCGTCCTCGCGCAAGACACCTGCAACACCACGGCAGGCCTGATAGACGGAGATTTGACGGCGATCTCGCGAGTATTGCTTGTCGAAGCATCGAGGCTGAGCCACCGGTGCTGATACGCGGGTCTTTAGGCCCATAGGGCGTCCAGGACAATCAAACCCGGGTTTGAATACCAAGATGGAACTTCGGCTCTAACTCGTGACACCCTAGGGCTTGGTATGGCAGGTCCCGAGGAACAGGGGCGGCACCGAAGCGACATCGCCGTCGATACTTGACCCCGTGGGCAGCCTTATACAATGCCATTGTTTTCCATAACCACAATCATTCTCCTATTCTTATCATACAGTCGTCCATCGGCCATCAGCTGATCATGGTATTGGCAATAGCTGCGACCGGCAGCCGAACTAATCGCAGAGACAATCCCGTCTACATCGAAGTGCTCAATCCGCCACCGACTTACACAAGCGGGGACTGCGTACAAGGCCAGCTAATCGTGGTGCCCACATCACAACCTAAACGCATAAGCATAAGTCTTAAAGGCTTCTCTGCCGTTGAAGATGCCCATGGAAGAAGCGTGCATCTTGAGTTCTATGGACTTTCGCAGTTCCTCTATATACACGAAATCGCAGCCGATGACTTCCACCTTCGCGCCAACAACGCGAGGGATCCAGTTAGAGTTGAGCTGCCCTTCTCCTTCACATTCGGAAACCATGCTACGATACCGCCTCCCGCTGGTAAGAAATATCGCTGTACAAACTGCACGTGAGACATGTACTGACTTCGTACACCTACGTTTAGGTAGAGTATGGCTTCACCCAGGAGACCAATGGAACCACCCCCGATTCCAGCATTCTCCTGGATTCCCTTTACCTCCAACGCTCAACGGGCCCACACCCACAAGTCCACGGGTCGTATATCACCTAGAAGCGTATATGGAGTCCGATCTACCCGGCACACCACCAGTGCGGGTCCGACAAGAAATCACCTACATGCCACCAGCGCCCCCCTACGACCGCTCCCTCCTGCAACCCGACCTAAACTTCGGCACCAAACTACCCAAACACTGCAGCGCAGCGAAGCTAATTCGGACCCGCAAACTCCTCCCCAACTACGGCGAGAACTCCAGCAAACTCGGCCGCTTCAAAGACAAACTCGCCGACAAAGAACTCCTCTTCGGCATCGAGTCCTTTGCAGAAATCCCTTACGCCCAATTCAACGTCCTCGCCACTCCACCCAGCATCCTAGTCATCGGATCCCCCCTCCCGGTCATCGTAACGGTGCAACACACCAAGCGCTCAGAATCACTCCCTTCCCCACCCGATCTCTTCATCCGGCGACTGAAAGTGCAGTTAAACGCAAAGATCAACGTCTTCCTCCCCAACGAAGCTTTCTTCAAACACCCCAGCAGAATAACCAACCACACCGACCGCCGCACCATCGTCCTCTGCGACCACAAATACGAAACAGGCGACGGCGAACCCCTCTACGACGGCCTCAATCTGCTCGACGTGGCGAACATCGAACTCGCAAAAGACTACAATAATAACAATACCATCGCGCCGAGCTTCACTAGCTACGGCCTAAACCTAGAATACGAACTCCAAATCGAGATCACAGGGAGATGTGCGGATAGAGAGTGGTCTGGTATCGCGTGTACGCAGCCTGTGCAGGTGGCTACGGATTGGCAGGCTGCACCATCGATTGAAAGTGCGGATTTGTTGGAGGCTGGGCCGGGGCCGCTGGCGTATCATGAATTGGATGCTGCGCCGAGGATGTATGAGATGGCTGTTCATACGGAGGAACCGCCGCCGTATCATGATGAGCCGCCGCCGTATAATAGGATGCTTGGTAGTACTGCTGTGGGGGGTCCGGTGGGGGCTGTTTGAGCGGATTCATGTATTTGTTTTGCGTGTTCTGGGGTTTGATGGACTTGGAGCAGGGAGTTTTGTTGATGGAGTTGTGTAAGAAGATGGAATGTTATGCCCAAATCCGTTTGAATGATTGGAAACAAAGATTTCAAAGAAGACTTGGTGACTTCGCTAGGGTTATTGCGTTGTAAGATGAGGGCCTCGGTCTAATTTATAGGCCAACTGCACCGTCTTTTGTCCTGGATGTGGTAGAGAACAATTGCAGAGCAAGAGTATGGCGGACGTCCCTTCGGAGCACTGGTTCGATTAGGCCGTGGTCACATTAAACATCTGTACTAGACGCTTTGCGCAACCCGTGCCACATGCCCACCTCCACTCCACCTCACCATCCTACTTCTCCCCCCTCGCCTTATTCCTCTCTCTCCTACGTTCCCGCTCCGCCTTCCTCGCCTGATTAAAACTGGGCGTAAGCCCCTCCTCATCAATCTTCGCCTTTACCAAACTCTTCTCATCCACCTCATCCAACAGAAAGCGTCCCATATTGCCTTGCCTCCACTTCTGAATCATCCACAACGACGTCGCTTCCGTGTCTATGACCCCGCCCTTGCCCAGTCTACCAGTCTTCTTCGCGATCTCAGTAAGGAGCTCGATGATGTCATTAGTAGGCGACGCGTATTCGGAGTATAGCGACGGCGATTGGAGGTTCAGGTGGTAGAGCAGGTAATCCGCAAGCATGACGGGTGCGATGATGGTATCCTTGACGGAGCCGCAGAGCGCTAGTTTCATCATGGCTTCTGCGTCGGGGACGTATGGGATGAAAACACCGGGTGTGTCGAGTAGATAAACACCTCCTCCAACGCCCTGAAGCTTCTTCTTCGCCGCCGCCTCCGCTGCTTCCATGTCGTCTTCGCTCGGTATGATCTTCACGCCGCTACTGCTCACTTTGCGTGTTACACCCGGTTGCGCGCCCGTGGCTGCGACTTTGCCTCGACCGATTCCTTGTGCGCGAAGGGCGTTGAGGAGCGTGGATTTACCCACGTTGGGCATGCCTACTACCATGACGCGGTGGCCGACTAGCTTCCACCTCTTCTGCGCGTGTTCGCGCAGGATGTCCAGGAGCTTGATCACGCTCTTCCTTCCACTAATCTCGCCCTCGGCTTCTTTCCCGTTCCGCACGAACATCGTCGTAGTAGGGTGATGCCATTTCGCAATAACATCTTCATTCCGATTATCGCGCGATCCACCGCCCAAATCCCTCTTCGTGTACACAATGACTCGTTCTTTTCCTTCCAGCGCATCTTCGAAGAGAGGGTTGCGCGAGGTGAGTGGGACACGGTAGTCGCGGCATTCGATTACTAGGTCGATGGAGGAGAGGAGGGATTTCATCTTTGCCAGGCCGGCTTTGTGGTGGCCCAGGAAGTAGGACCGGGGCAGCGATGGGATTTGCGGGAAGGCATGGCGGGGGATGAATGACATCGGTTACATTGGTGTGTTGGTGGAGGGGAAGATGTGGTGGCTGCAGATGGAATTATTTTGAGTACGAGTCAGATGATGCCTATGTCTTGGCGAACATGACTGGTGCGAATGTCGGCGTCTGGTCTCGCCATTGCCAGTGCCATTGCTCGCCACTTCCGCATCACATCACTGAATCCAAACATCCGCATCTGTACTGTTATTACACGGATCTCGATAACGTCGGACCTGTTACATGTATTAATTGCAGCTCCAGGTCGGCTCGTTCATATCTCTGAGCGAAGAACAGCAGGCCCGTACGATCAAAATCCGAAAGCGCCACCCTCCCAGTGCACTGGAAAGTACGCTCCCATGGAATCCTTACCGTCTGCAGGGTCAATCCGTTTCAGATCTCCTGCTTCCTGAATCCTTCGAGCTTACGATCGACTCTGTGACCATAGTGGCGTAGTCCCAGGTAGGAATATGCTGTCAGCATCGCTTCTCCGTTGACGGGTATTCCGCGGAATACCCGCGGTATGCTTGGCACCCACCTGCAGACATACCTCATGTGACCAACCATCTTCCTCCCCAGTCTAGAGAATATGGTTCTTGATTTCTTGCCACTGTTCTCTCATTGCGATTGTCTACCAGGATTTCAAGAAACGTCATGCCAGCTGCCGGCGAGCGAGAACGTTACAATCGCAAAGGACAGTACTCCTGTAACTTCTGCCGGTCGCGCAAGATTCGCTGTGACCGACCACTGCCATGCACAAGTTGCAGGTCGCGAGGAAAGACGTGTCAATTCGATCCTACGCCAGCGGCACGCGAAGCTCAAGGCCCTCAGACACCAGTCTCGATCGGGGCTTCGCTCACACAGCAACAGCCACATGAGAGCATCCAGACACCTTTATCTTTAACCGGAAAACCTGGCATGTTGGCTGAGATAGTTGCACTCCAGATTCGTGTGCAGGAGCTGGAAGAACGTATCGCACAAGAGACTACCTTTCCTCTGCAGGCCGGCAATGACGACAGCGAAAACGTTCGAACGGCCTTCGTTTCTGAAACCGCTCGAGACAAAATCGATATGAATCAACCCTCCGATATTCAAGAAACGAAAGAAATGGTAGAACATCTCGAAGGCGTCTCCATGAGTCAGAACTCTTTCGAGCTGTCTACCACAAACCATGTTACCTTCAAGATCGGTCAGATCCGCACAATACCACCAAAACTGACTTACACAACGCAACTCAATAGACTAACACCATGTATATGGCTCCCACTAAGCGAAGAAGCCACCATACTCCTCGACATCTACATCACCGAGCTCAACTACATTCAACACGTGACGCACACCCCCTCTTTACCAGCCATCCTCGACGAAATTTACCGTCCAGTCGAAAGCGGTGAGCCTGTTCATCCCGGCAAAGTCGTTCTACTACTAAGTGTCATCGCTCATACAACGCATGTATGGAGTATGCCGGACGGACTGAACAGAGAACGTCCCCTATTCTTGTCCTCGACCCAAGCCCGCTCTCAGACAGCCACTTGGATCAAGGCCACATATACCGTACTCGAGACATTGCAAGAGGGGCATTCGCTGGCTTTGGGGGCTATACAAGGCATCATAATCTTGTCATACGTTTTGTGCAACATAGAAGGTGTATCGCTACGATACCGCTCCTTAATATCAACTGGCTTGTTGCTATGTCGGGAAATGGGTCTCCATCGGATCGACCACGAATCCAACGCCGATGCGTCCCAGACGCTCAAAGCAGAGATTGGTCGTCGCGTGTGGTGGTACCTGACTGCAACGGATTGGTACGTCGATTCTCGAGCACTTGCTACATGAACAGTACAAAGCAGACTGACCGCTCCATCCAGGCTCCTCGCAGCGCGCTACGGCGGACCCAGCGGCGGCATCTACCAAACCAACCCTCTCCACTTCCACGTAAACAAACCCCTGAACATCAACGACATCGACCTCCTCGCCACCGGACCCCAACCCTCCCTCCACCTCTCCCACCAAACAGACATGTCCTACTTCCTGCAGCGCATCCGGCTCGCAGAAATCTCCCGCGCCCTCGTCGACCAACTCACCTCCGACCCTTTCCAACGCTCCGCCCACCTCATGACCATGGACAAACAACTCGTACAACTAATGCACGAAACACCCGCTTTCTTCCAGCTAGACCACTACGACAGTACATTCTCGTCGGAGAAGCCAAACCACGTCTTCATCCAAGCCTACTTCCTCAACACGCTCATCCACACTCAGCGCTGTAAATTGCATCTTACTACGCTAACACGTCCGTCTGCGTCGATGGATACCCCAACAACGCCTTTGTCACGCACTGCGTGTCTGTACTCCGCCCGGCAGCTTATATCCCTCGAGACGAAACTACTGCAGTCGCGGCATCCGTTTGCGATACGGCCGCAACGGCCTCCGGCGGGGCTGTATAGTATTTTTATTGCTACCATCGCTTTACTCATGGATGCTTGTGTCAATAGGTCGGGTGAAGTACATGCTGAGCTGCAAGAAGATAGCGATTTAGCGACAGGGTTGCGTATGATTGCTGATGCGAGGGATGATTCGCTTGCGGCGGCGAAGTTGTATGAGTCTCTCATGCAGATTGTGGCGAAGTATCGGGATGTTGGGGATATGGGAGAGAACTATGGAAGTAGTGTCGGTAACCAGAGTGCGGTGGAGTCTTTGCAAGATTTGGTCCCGGATCGATCAGGAGAGCAACCGCATTCTTCTCATGTGAATGATGCAATACAGCTCGATTTGGTAGATTGGGATGATTTGTTCTCGAGTGTTTCTTCCTCGCCGTTCTTTTAGTTTGGGGTGGGATATCGTGGAAATCGTCTGGTGGGAATATCGACGATGTATCATGCACCTATTAAGGAATAGGATGAGTAAACAGCAAAGAGTCAGCCAGCTGTTTCCCAAGTACTACACCGTAAGCTATCGATAGTTGAACGCAAAAAGTGGGTGGAAGCACATCAGACGATGCGAAACGTGGACATGGTATCGATATCACTCTAGAAGGTAATCTGAGCAACTTGGTGGCCTCGGGCCCAACAATCATACTTCAACTAACGAAACGACACTAAACAATACAAACAGAATCATGCTTCAACGTCATCTCCAACCCCGCGCAGTCCTCCTCCTTTCCTCTGATAACTCAGAGATCGCGCAGCTGCTGGCGCTTTGAGTAGAAGGTGGTGTAGGGCGTGGGCGCAGATCTTCCGACGACAGTGACCGTGTCGCAGGGTGGCTCGGGGGCGACGGTGACCGTATCGCAAGGTGGCTCGGGGTCGACGAAGACGGTTGTGGTTGTGATGGAAACAGGTGCGGGGGTGGTGGTGCAGGGTGGCTCAGGGTCGACGTAGACGGTTTTGATGGAGTAGGGTTCGGTGGTGCAAGGTGGCTCGGGGGCGGCGATTATGGTTGTGGTGACGGCTGCAGGAGGGAACTTATGAGTGACTGTGACCATGGCAGGAGCCGAGATGGTGGTGATAGTAACCACGGGTTGAGAGCCAATGACCGTGACGACGGACGGAGG